CCCCAGCCACCAGCAGCTGCCTCCTTCAGGGTAGTTATGAAAGGGACAATACAAAGGTCACAGCCGGTACATTTCCTCTTCACCCAGGGTCAGTTTATCAGAACAAGGTGATATCTTCAGTTTAATTTGAAGCATTTACCCATTCTGTAGAGCAGGTGGCTAAAATCTTCAGAATGGTGCCAGGTAACATCTGTGTGAATGGAGCTTTTACTCATATTAAGATAACTGGCTGAAATAGTCAGTTCTCATTACCTTTTTCTAAAATAGATGAGGTTTGGATTTAAAATATTTTTCAGTGCTGTGCCACGTTCCCCCCCCACAGTGCAGCTTTACTACCATAATTTCCTGTTGTACTTTCCACATGGGGGAGACACATAAAAATCATTGCATCAAGCATTGTCACAGGCAACTGCACAGAGAAACAAATGAGAAAATACTCACATTCATGTTACTTATATTGCTGGATAAAACACCTTCAGACAGAAACAACATTTTGTTTAGATCACTTTGTCTTGTTAGATTTGTTCATAGGTTACAGTGGCACTGGGAATCAGGAAATAATTTCTCTTAAAGCCATTTCAGGCTCAGGAATCATTATTAATAATAATAATATAAGAAATTATTATAATATTTTGTGTGAGTTTTGTTACTTGACTTTTTGTTACTTGACTGCAGCACGATGCTGTGAATCACCAAGCACTTTTTCCCTTTCCTAGGTATCAACATGATGATGCAAAAATACTCACTTTGCAGAACTGAGCCCTTTTGTCTTCTTTTATGTTGTGATTCTTCATACATTTTGGAGACCCAAACACTAAGGTTGCCCTCACAGCAAGTCACTGCTTGATACAGTTTTTTCATAGTCTGTATACTAAAAATAATCAAAATTCAGCATAACAATTTTCCTGTCAACAGAGTAGTCAGCATGTGGCTGCTGGGTTTGTTCAGTGTATTTGCTGTTACAAAACAGTCTTTGTTGCTTTCTATGCTTTGTTCAGCACATCTGACTAAAGCAGCCACCTGCCTTACTCTGTGACAATGGTATAGTGATTTCTTCAATTTAAGCAAAATAATGGAATTTGTTTCAATTCTGTTCTTCTGCTATAGAATTACTCCTTGGTTACGATGTCAGTTGACCTTTCCAACTGAACTGTAATTTAACAGAGACTTAAGTTAATTGTTCATATTAGCAAATACACAAAATACTGGTTCTCTTAGAAGGATAAGTACAGAATTAAATCAGATTTCTATTTTTACATTACAATTTAAAAGTCAAATATTTTGGTACTTTGGGGTTGATTTCTTCTAAATAACATTTTGTCTTAGTTCATTTATTAAACAGATTGTCACAGTCATTTCATTTCAATGTTTATAATTTATCTAGACATGGTATTTTGGTTAATAAAATATACAAAATGGTTAGTATCCCTCAGTACTGAGTATTTTTATTTAAGCAAGTCAACGATTAACTTGTGGAGAGCTAAAGATATTAAAGTGAGAATTATTGTGTTTTTAACATACTGAAAATAGTGAGCTACTTAAGACACACAAAATCCAATATCTGAGAACAACATAAAAAGTTATCCCAGTAGAAGGTAGTAAACTATGATGGCAGGCTCATCTGGGATTTAAAAAAATAAAACAGCACATTGTGAGTTACTCTAATGTTTATATCTGTACCAGGTCATTTCATCAAGATCGCTTAACAGCAAGCACGTGACATTGCACTTTCATTTTTTCCTCTGTTCTTGCAGTAACAAACATTCAAAGTGTCCAACAATGCACAACTGATATTTGAGGGATTTTCCTTCAGTAACCTAAAATTAATACCTGTAGGCACAGGAATTTTTACTTGTTAAAACATAGTGAATACTGAGTCACAATAAGGGCAAGTCTGTGTTCATTGTGCTCCTGGCAGTGTATTGATGCCAGGCAGAACTGATGACAAATACTTAATGACATATCCATTCCTAGAACAGGAGTGAACTGGGGTGGTTCTTAATGGCTTTCTCATACCCAGGTCACAGAGATCCACAGCTGCAGCTGGTGGTTTTCTTTCCTTGCTGCTTGGAGCATAATGCTCTTTGTCTTAGAAAACTGAAGTTTGACACACCTCTTGGGACAAGACTAGACATGATGAGGAACATTCATGGATCCTGAGGCATTGTGCAGATATTCTTATTTTTGGCATTTGCAAATGTCAAACAGGTAATTGCAAATGCTTAGATTTACTTGTTCAAGTATCACTTTTTACATTTTTAGGTAAGTTTTTTTACTGAATCCTCATTTTTAAACATTTATGGAAGTGTATTTTTTTCCTCAGTTTAACCAGTAGGGTGCGTCTTCAATAGCTGAACAGTAAAAAGAAGTTAAAAGCTACTTGAATTTGAGTTCAGTTTTAGCAGCAAGATATTCAGTGTATTTCAAAATAAAATATTATCTGGAGAATTAACAAATTTGTAATGTGTTCATGCACATAACATCATGAATCTTCTTCCCCAGTTAACACTTCCTTTTTTTTTTCACTTCATGATAATTAAAATCTCAGTTCCTTTAAAGAAGATTAAAGATGTGACAGAACATACTGATAAAATGTGAAGCACAATCTAATCTGGTTACAATCCAGGTTATTGCTCAGAAAGGAAAAAACACTTGTTTTCCCTACCAGTTTAAATCAGTTACATCTCAGCAGCACAAGAATAAGCACTGATGTTTGGGATGTGAAGTAGTTTGGCAAACTTAATTCCTGATAATTGCCTTATTTCCTTCTATAAAAAGGATGGCTTGTAACAGTCCTGTCTTCCCCTAAACCATGCAAGACTAAATCAGTGCTGGTGTGTCAGACAAAAATAGCCAACCTTATGAGATTATTGCACTCCTCTGTTTTTATTTCTTTGGGTTTGTTGTGGGTTTTTTTTTCAGGTTTGTTTTTTGTGTGTGTGGTGTTTGGTTTTAGTTTTTCTAATAGAGCTACATTGCCCTCCTGTGGGCCAGAAATAATTTTACTTGTCCACTGTAATACATGTTCTTGTACTCATTTGTGATCAAAGTTTTTGGTGGTGTAGCAACTATTTAACACGGGAAGAGTTCCCTGTTTCTGAAAACACGAAGTGGAAGCTACTGATCAGCACCACTGTGGTGACCAGTACTCCTTGTTCAGCCCCATGCAAAAAACACATGTTGCTACTATCAGTACTGAAATCTAACTTTTAACAACATCACCAAAGTTCTCTGTGTGGAAGAGGGTTTTGCCACCCACTGCAGCAGAGCACCAGGTGTACCTCTGCAACATTAACTTTCACAAATCCATCTACAAAAATGGACAGGTGTCTTTGTGAGACTTTTTTTTTCTGTTAAGTTGCCTTCCTGTCTATCAGAGACCTAGTGACAGATCAATCATGTTTGCTTCAGAAAGCAAACAGAGCACTTCCCTTCAAGGCTTTCAAGGAGGAAACAGAAAGAACCAAGGAGCACAAATGTGCTTTCCTTTTCTCTCTGCATCCAATATCTGAGAACAACATAAAAAGTTATCCCAGTAGAAGGTAGTAAACTATGATGGCAGGCTCATCTGGGATTTAAAAAAATAAAACAGCACATTGTGAGTTAGTCTAATGTTTATATCTGTACCAGGTCATTTCATCAAGATCGCTTAACAGCAAGCACGTGACATTGCACTTTCATTTTTTCCTCTGTTCTTGCAGTAACAAACATTCAAAGTGTCCAACAATGCACAACTGATATTTGAGGGATTTTCCTTCAGTAACCTAAAATTAATACCTGTAGGCACAGGAATTTTTACTTGTTAAAACATAGTGAATACTGAGTCACAATAAGGGCAAGTCTGTGTTCATTGTGCTCCTGGCAGTGTATTGATGCCAGGCAGAACTGATGACAAATACTTAATGACATATCCATTCCTAGAACAGGAGTGAACTGGGGTGGTTCTTAATGGCTTTCTCATACCCAGGTCACAGAGATCCACAGCTGCAGCTGGTGGTTTTCTTTCCTTGCTGCTTGGAGCATAATGCTCTTTGTCTTAGAAAACTGAAGTTTGACACACCTCTTGGGACAAGACTAGACATGATGAGGAACATTCATGGATCCTGAGGCATTGTGCAGATATTCTTATTTTTGGCATTTGCAAATGTCAAACAGGTAATTGCAAATACTTAGATTTACTTGTTCAAGTATCACTTTTTACATTTTTAGGTAAGTTTTTTTACTGAATCCTCATTTTTAAACATTTATGGAAGTGTATTTTTTTCCTCAGTTTAACCAGTAGGGTGCGTCTTCAATAGCTGAACAGTAAA